AAAATAAAACTGTGTTTAAAAGAACCAAACATCTAGACAACAATAAAGAATAGGGAATATAATGGGCAAGTCAATCAGGAGGAAGATGAAAATATTGAGTAATTTTGTAGATCCTATACTTCTATTCTTTTAGAATACACATAACAGTTAAAATTTTCCAATAATTTAGAGCTTCCAAATCAGCAATAAATAAAACTTACCAGTCCAGCAGAAGACAAAAAAAAAAAAAAAAAAAGCCAGAATTATACAATCAATAAAAATATTCTTGAAGAATATGTCACAAATACAGCAAGTGAAAATTCAGGGTAAAGATTATACTACATAAGAAAAAAAATTTTTTTAAATGAAAAAGGAAAAGATTATATTACATACTGTAACTCAAATATTGTGGTAAAGAACCATGATTTACTTAACTAAAAGAAAATGAAAAGATATATTTTCAAATGTTCCAGTGATTCACTCCAGGTGGTACAACTCTGGTGATTTTAATTTTCTTCAGCTTTTTCTAGATTTTTAAATTTCTTTGCAATGACAAATTACTTTCATAATCAAGAAAAGAAGTTCCTCCTATTAAGGCAATATTTACCTTAATAGTTCCAAGATCCATTGGATTTTTGACAATGTCATAGTAGTTATGAATTCCCAAAGCCTTAACATCAACAGGATTATAAAAAGGCCATGCATATGATAAATGTTTCTTTCCAAGCATTTCCTTAAGAATCTCACTACAGTGCCTTAGTTGTTCAGTTACTTTAGCAGTCTTTACAACTTTATATTGTTGCTGAGAATCGGGCAAAGCATTCTTCAGCATATTTTCTTTTACGGGTGGCATTCTCATTGATTTTTTTTCTGTAAGTGCTGGAGAAGATTCACTTCTTGATTTAACTACTGAAGATGTAGGAGTTGTTGTATCTGCTTTCCTCTTCACACCCCTTGTAACCTAAAACAAAACAATTCAATAATAAAAAAACTATATTTAAGGTAATATTCAGAGCAATAGTTTTCTAAAACTTTTTTTGTCATTACCTTTATCAATTAAAAAAACAGGGAATGATTACTGGCACCAAGTCTTTATATAGTAAATTACACATATTGTTGTCAATCTGTGTATTAAATATTAGTAAAGGTTAATTTCGCTTTTATAGGCAAAAGAAATAGTTTTAATATTTCCTTCCCATATCCCAGAGAACTGTCTTGTGCAAATCCTTGAGATAAATAGAAAATAGAAAATCAAAGTCATAGTTATTCCAAAAAAAAGTTTCTGAATACCTGAAATCAGCTAGAATATACAGTTTTTAAAAGGGAACTTTGTAGATAGACAGCTTCTGATATTAATACTATCAAAACATTAAAACAGTTCAAATTCTACTTAAGAAATTTAAAATTTGGTTACATACTAGGTCTCCTCTTACAAAATGTACAGAGTGGCAGAAATTGTGTGATATGAAAATTGTTCAGCAATCTTCAGTCAACTTAAAAAAAAAGTATAAACATTACAACATCCCAGTTACTCTGGAGTATTTCAGGAACCAGTGATTTTAAAACTACGATAAACGTACCTGGGCCACAGTTTGTGAGCTACAGTTGAGTGGCGCTGCTTGTGCCATGCTGAAGGGAGAAACAGATGTCTCAGCAGATGCAGAGGGAACCGCTTGCTGCTTAAATACTTTTTCTGTTGCTTTGGT